CTGGAGCAGCAGTGTGGGGGCTGGGACTGGAGCAGCAGTGTGGGGGCTGGGACCGGAGCAGCAGTGTGGGGGCTGGGACTGGAGCAGCAGTGTGGGGGCTGGGACCGGAGCAGCAGTGTGGGGGCTGGGACTAGAGGCAGCAGTGTGGCGGGCTGGAACAAGGGCAGGGCAGTGAGCACTGGTGTTGTCAATCGGTTGTAATTTCGTAATCGATCATCGGTTGGACCCAAGTAACCGATGATCGGTTACAATCGGTTACTCAGGGTGTTGAATGCCTGCGTGTGCGTAATGTCGTGTGCATGTACGTGTGTGCATGTATGTGCTTGTTTAGCCCTGTTTACTGTTTGTTTTGCACTGTTTACTACTGTGTGTATAATATCATGTATGTTAATAAAGGATAACTTGTATAGTAGCAATGATATCTCTGATTCTCATCACTTTAAAAATAAAAAAAATTGATGAAATTGATTATAGATTTTGATAACCAAGCGCTTAGTTCAATGCCAATGTTCAACCAATGATCGAGTATAATCGATGATCGTGACATCACTAGTGAGCACGCAGCATCAGCAGCGGCACACGCGCGCGATCGGCTCACCATCTTGCGGCGCTCGCCGGCCGACGAGCTGCGCGAGTACTTGAGCCGCGAGAAGAGCGTGATGAACTGTTCGACGGTGAGGTAGGAGACGAGCAGGTCCTCCTTGCGCACGTACGCGACCGTCTCGCGCAGGTGCTTCAGCTGCAGCAGCACGCCGTTGACGACCACCTCGCCGAAATACCTGAGGCCCGGCGGCCGATGACCGGACATCATCTCAAGTAGCGCCGTCTTGCCCGAATCTGCGGAGGTAGAGAGAGCGTAGCAGAGACGCTGTCAGGCTGTGGCTCGTTGTCAGGAAACATCGTGGATAGTTATGACCTCGTGTCGTAGGGAAGCGACGTGAAAAAGTAACGGCATTTCAGACTTATCCACTTCTAATCATTTTAGAACTACTTGTTTCGTTTCTGACAACGGGTTCCCGGTCAGTTAGCAACTTGGTGTGTGGGTGTGCACGGGGATAGTGCATGAGGGGAGTTAGTAGACTAGTCTGCAGTACTTGCATGTATAGGAGTTGTCATTGGACTTGTGTGTTGCTACATAACATACATATTTATATGCTGTGGATTGCAGTTATACATGTAAAAAGTTCGATCAGCAAGCATGCGTGTCTATACACTCGTAAACAGAATATGCTTGTATACGTTTGTGAACAGAATGTGCATATATACGAGTTGAAAGAGTACAAAACGTGCATGTGTACACTAGTGTAAACAATAAACGCATGCTTACATACTTATTAACAGTACAGGCATGCTTACAGGTGTGTAAACAGTACATGAGCTTGCCTGTGTACATGCATGTAAACGGTAAAAGTCACATGCCTGCGTACACGTGTAAAAAACGTCACATGCCTGCGACATGCGTGTAAACGTCACATGCCTGCGTACACGCGTGTAAACGTCACATGCCTGCGTACACGCGTGTAAACGTCACATGCCTGCGTACACGCGTGTAA